AATCCCGGGCGACTCGGCTGCAAAGCTGGAAAGCTTATCGCCAACCAATTAAGGAGAATCCCGGGCGACTCGGCTGCAAATCCCAGCTGGAAAGCTTATCGCCAACCAATTGAGGAGAATCCCGGGCGACTCGGCTGCAAAGCTGAAAAGATTATCGCCAACCAATTACGGAGAATCCCAGGCGACTCGGCTGCAAAGCTAGAAAGCTTATCGCCAACCAATTAAGGAGAATCCCAGGCGACTCGGCTGCAAAGCTGGAAAGCTTATCGCCAACCAATTAAGGAGAATCCCGGGCGACTCGGCTGCAAATCCCAGCTGGAAAGCTTATCGCCAACCAATTAAGGAGAATCCCGGGCGACTCGGCTGCAAAGCTGGAAAGCTTATCGCCAACCAATTAAGGAGAATCTCAGGCGACTCGGCTGCAAATCCCAGCTGGAAAGCTTATCGCCAACCAGTTAAGGAGAATCCCGGGCGACTCGGCTGCAAAGCTGGAAAGCTTATCGCCAACCAATTAAGGAGAATCCCGGGCGACTCGGCTGCAAATCCCAGCTGGAAAGCTTATCGCCAACCAATTAAGGAGAATCCCGGGCGACTCGGCTGCAAAGCTGGAAAGCTGATCGCCAACCAATTAAGGAGAATCCCGGGCGACTCGGCTGCAAAGCTGGAAAGCTTATCGCCAACCAATTAAGGAAAATCCCGGGCGACTCGGCTGCAAAGCTGGAAAGCTTATCGCCAACCAATTAAGGAGAATCCCAGGCGACTCGGCTGCAAATCTCAGCTGGAAAGTTTCTCGCCAACCAATTAAGGAGAATCCCGGGCGACTCGGCTGCAAATCTCAGCTGGAAAGCTTATCGCCAACCAATTAAGGAGAATCCCAGGCGACTCGGCTGCAAATCTCAGCTGGAAAGCTTATCGCCAACCAATTAAGGAGAATCCCGGGCGACTCGGCTGCAAATCTCAGCTGGAAAGCTTATCGCCAACCAATGAAGAGAATCCCAGGCGACTCGGCTGCAAATCCCAGCTGGAAAGCTTCTCGCCAACCAATTAAGGAGAATCCCAGGCGACTCGGCTGCAAATCTCAGCTGGTAAGCTTATCGCCAACCAATTAAGGAGAATCCCGGGCGACTCGGCTGCAAAGCTGCTTCCAAGAGCTGGAAATCCTTATCCTGGTGCATTTTATGAAGGAGAACTACCTGGCAAGGCCTTCCAAGAGCTGGAAATCCTTATCCTGGTGCATTTTATGAAGGAGAACTACCTGGCAAGGCCTTCCAAGAGCTGGAAATCCTTATCCTGGTGCATTTTATGAAGGAGAACTACCTGGCAGCCTTCCAAGAGCTGGAAATCCTTATCCTGGTGCATTTTATGAAGGAGAACTACCTGGCAAGGCCTTCCAAGAGCTGGAAATCCTTATCCTGGTGCATTTTATGAAGGAGAACTACCTCGTCCAAGAGCTGGAAATCCTTATCCTGGTGCATTTTATGAAGGAGAACTACCTGGCAAGGCCTTGCAAGAGCTGGAAACCCTTATCCTGGTGCATTTTATGAAGGAGAACTACCTGGCAAGGCCTTCCAAGAGCTGGAAATCCTTATCCTGGTGCATTTTATGAAGGAGAACAACCTGGCAAGGCCTTCCAAGAGCTGGAAATCCTTATCCTGGTGCATTTTATGAAGGAGAACGACCTGGCAAGGCCTTCCAAGAACTGGAAATCCTTATTCTGGTGCATTTTATGAAGGAGAACTAACTGGCAAGGCCTTCCAAGAGCTGGAAATCCTTATCCTGGTGCATTTTATGAAGGAGAACTACCTGGAAAGGCTCTTATCCTGGTGCATTTTATGAAGGAGAACTACCTGGAAAGGCCTTCCGCGAGCTGGAAATCCTTATCCTGGTGCATTTTATGAAGGAGAACCACCTGGTAAGGCCTTCTGCGAGCTGGAAATCCTTATCCTGGTGCATTTTATGAAAGAGAACTACCTGGAAATGCCTTCCGCGAGCTGGAAATCCTTATCCTGGTGCATTTTATGAAGGAGAACTACCTGGAAAGGCTTTCCGCGAGCTGGAAATCCTTATCCTGGTGCTTTTTTCTGAAGAAGAACTACTTGGAAAGGCCTTCCGCGAGCTGGAAATGCTTATCCTGGTGCATTTTATGAAGGAGAACTACCTGGAAAGGCCTTCCAAGAGCTGGAAATCCTTATCCTGGTGCATTTTATGAAGGATAACTACCTGGAAAGGGAAATCCTTATCCTGGTGCATTTTATGAAGGAGAACTACCTGGAAAGGCCTTCCGCAAGCTGGAAATCCTTATCCTGGTGCATTTTATGAAGGAGAACTACCTGGAAAGGCCTTCTGCGAGCTGGAAATCGTTATCCTGGTGCATTTTATGAAAGAGAACTACCTGGAAATGCCTTCCGCGAGCTGGAAATCCTTATCCTGGTGCATTTTATGAAGGAGAACTACCTGGAAAGGCTTTCCGCGAGCTGGAAATCCTTATCCTGGTGCTTTTTTCTGAAGAAGAACTACTTGGAAAGGCCTTCCGCGAGCTGGAAATGCTTATCCTGGTGCATTTTATGAAGGAGAACTACCTGGAAAAGCCTTCCGCGAGCTGGAAATCCTTATCCGGTGCATTTTATGAAGGAGAACTACCTGGAAAGGCCTTCCAAGAGCTGGAAATCCTTATCCTGGTGCATTTTATGAAGGAGAACTACCTGGAAAGGCCTTCCGCGACCTGGAAATCCTTATCCGGTGCATTTTATGAAGGAGAACTACCTGGAAAGGCCTTCCGCGAGCTGGAAATCCTTATCCTGGTGCATTTTATGAAAGAGCTACCTGGAAAGGCCTTCCGCGAGCTGGAAAAGGCAAGGCCTTCCAAGAGCTGGAAATCCTTATCCTGGTGCATTTTATGAAGGAGAACTACCTGGCAAGGCCTTCCAAGAACTGGAAATCCTTATTCTGGTGCATTTTATGAAGGAGAACTACCTGGCAAGGCCTTCCAAGAGCTGGAAATCCTTATCCTGGTGCATTTATGAAGGAGAACTACCTGGCAAGGCCTTCCAAGAGCTGGAAATCCTTATCCTGGTGCATTCTATGAAAGAGAACTACCTGGCAAGGCCTTCCAAGAGCTGGAAACCCTTACGCTGGTGCATTTTATGAAGGAGAACCACGTTTGCTTGTCCTCAACCTGAATGGGGGCCATGTGCCAGGTGCTTATGCTCAACCAGAATGGGGTGCAGCCGAGTCGCTTCAGTCAACACAAAGTCCTGACACCAGCAATTCCTGTTTGCTTGCCTCAACCTGAATAGGGGCCAGCGTTTACCGCTCACACCGTGCGCTTTGGCTCAATATGAACAGCCTTAAGTCTTCATCCACAGCCATTTCGGGCGCAAGCCTCTGTCACCGCAAAAGGTCTTGAGAGCATTTTCGCATCCCTTGTTTCTCAGCTCAACTGATGCGAGTTGCAATGGCCAACCGCTGCGGCTGTTGGGGGGCCTGAACTGCGAGCTGAAGTGGGACGGTGGCCCGATCGCAAATTTGCGGACCATGGCCGGCCACGTCGCAGGCTCTGTGCGCTGGACAGCTGCTGGGCTGAATGAACCGGAAGCCCACAAATACCGTATTGCCATGCTGTTTCGACCTGTGAGCTTCTAGGCCCTTCAGAACGTCACGGTCGGCGACGTCATCTCAGCCATGGGATCTGAAGCCCATAGTCACGAAGCACTGTCGCGGCAGACGCATCTGGCAATCCTGATCAACGGACGATGGCAGCCAGAAGAGCAGCCAGTGGCCGGACCGTTTCTTCTCTTAGAAAAGCTGCCGCGATGCAGGCTACGGCACAAGCAGTCGCTGGCAGAACATCTGTTTCACGCCAATCTTCATTCGCTCTGACTCTCAAAATTCCACAGAAACGGCCGGTCATGGGCTACTCGCTTCTTCTGTGCATTGTTGAGCCATGTTGCACCTCTTTCTTGAGCTTGTGAGAAGGTAGGGACGGCCGAGCCTTCCCGTGCTTTTTGTTGCTTGTGCAGCGCGCTTGGGCTCAATTCGAATCGTTTTAAAGTCTTCATCCGTGTCCCGCTGCGGCCAGGCAACCATTGGGGTACAAATCTCAATCGTCGCAGCTGTTCGTTTCGTTTTTGGAACATGGCCGCTGTCTTGTTTCTCAGGTCGACTGGTGCGACAGCATGCTCGAAGACACGTGCGAGGACTTGGAGAGCAGAGACCACTCGATTCGCGACTCCGAACAGGCGGACTTCGAGGACGGGTTCGACGACTGGGACTGGGTCGACAGTGAGATGCAGCGCGAAGCCGAGGAAGATGCGCGTGAGAGAGTACAGTGGAGCAAAGAAATGGAAATCCAGAATGAATACCGCCAGCGTCTCGCCAACATGACGGTGAAGTACCTGAACATGCAAGGTAGCGAAATCCACACCTCGAAGCCTTATCCACTCTGCCATGTCGAACCGTGCGAGTCTTTCCGGGAAGCCTGGCTGCACACTTTGCACGAAGGAAACAGCCCAGATCGCCGTCTCTCCCTGCGCCAACTACGTCTCAGACGACAAGAAATTAAGAAGCCTATCCCGGCGGAAACGCTGCAATATCGCAGCGCCAGGGAAGTCTTGCTTCACGATTTGGACAGCGGTCCTGCAGGACCCATCCCCCTCGACACCACGAAGCTGGTCTTGGGCGGGGGCGTGATCACAGACACCTGGAGCTGGCGTGAACTGTTGGGTCACAGCTTGAGCAACGACGTCGTGCACGTGCAAGTTGTCTACATCTCAGAGAAAGCCACAGGCCCGTAGAGCTGCCCATGTGAGTACGTTATGTCTCAGCAAGACAAGCCTGCAGAGCTCCAGTGTGTGCCACGAGAAAGAAACTGAGCAGCGAGCAAAGGCAGGACAGCTTTGTAAGTGCTCGAGCATGGCTTCTCAAGTTGCTTCACTGAGCCTGCTGCAGTGTTTCGGATACAGCCCCTAGGTGCAAAATCTGAGGATTCAGGATTCGTTGCCATGGCCCCTTGTCATCGGTGCGGCTTCGGGACAAGGAGCGGCAGAGGACAGGGATGGTGCAGCAATCCGCAGTGCCGCCAAGCCGAAAAAGAGGAGTGCCTGGCCCAGAAGAGCGCAGAGAAAATTGTTTGGCAGCAACAACGGGCAGCGCAGGGAGCGGGCAGTCGTGGACCCTTGCGCGAAGAGAACAGCAGAAAGGCAGAGCGCCGACAGCTGCATGAGGAAAGGGCGCGGGCAAAGGCAGAGGAGGAAGCAGGCGGCCGTGGACCTTTGCGTGAAGAAGACAGCAAAGAAGCAGAGCGCCGACAGCTGCGTGAGGCAAGGGCGCGGGCAAAGGCAGAGGAGGAAGCGGGCGGCCGTGGACCTTTGCGGGAAGAAGACAGCAAAGAAGCAGAGCGCCGACAGCTGCATGAGGCAAGGGCGCGGGCAAAGGCAGAGGAGGAAGCGGGCGGCCGTGGACCTTTGCGGGAAGAAGACGGCAAAAGGGAAGAGCGCCGACAGCTGCGTGAGGCAAGGGCACGGGCAAAGGCAGAGGAGGAAGCGGGCGGCCGTGGACCTTTGCGGGAAGAAGACAGCAAAGAAGCAGAGCGCCGACAGCTGCGTGAGGCAAGGGAGCGGGCAAAGGCAGAGGAGGAAGCGGGCGGCCGTGGACCTTTGCGGGAAGAAGACGGCAAAAGGGAAGAGCGCCGACAGCTGCGTGAGGCAAGGGCGCGGGCAAAGTCAGAGGAGGAAGCGGGCGGCCGTGGACCTTTGCGGGAAGAAGACAGCAAAGAAGCAGAGCGCCGACAGCTGCGTGAGGCAAGGGAGCGGGCAAAGGCAGAGGAGGGAGTGGGCGGCCGAGGGCCCAGGCCCATCGCCTCGGAGATTCAGCAGCAGGGCTACCCTTTTCCAGACGAGGACACCTTGACCCAGGAGCAGGCACAAGCCCATTACTTGGCTTTTGCGCGGAGCTGGAGTAGATTTGGCCTTTCTCGCGTGTGCCAGAAGTGCCAGACTCTAACACCAGGGAGGCACTGCAGAACAGCCAAAGGAAGTGGCCAGCTGCTCTGCAGGAATTGCCGCGAGAATCGCACCAAGGTGGTTTTGCCAATCCCGGCCCCCATCCCAGAAGCACTGCAAAGTCTGCAACCCATCGAGCAGCATCTCCTCGCCATGGCACGCATCTCGCAGGTCTTGTTGGACAAGCTGCCATCAGGCGGCCCGAGCGCGCAGTGGGGTCGCATGTACGCAGTGCTCATGCAGGATCCTTTCATCTGCGACGTCCTCGAAGGCGCCACTTTGGAAGAAGACGGTACAGTGCTGGTCGAGGGCGTGGACGGCATGACCGCATCACCAGCGCGTTTGGAGCACCTACACGCGGCCTTGCAGGCCTTGAAGGAACTGCACTGCCTCTATCAACGGAGCCCGGCAGTGGACAGAGCTCTGGCGAGAATGGCTGCCATCCTCGCCAACAAGACATCCGCTGCGGCTGCGGTGCCAACAGACCCACTTGCGGGAACAGAAGCAAACCAAGAGATCGAGATGACATACCTGGTGCCGAAGCAATTCCAGGCCCCAAAAGCCGACGTACAAGATTTGCGAAAAGTGCGAGGATCCGCAGACCTCAGCGATGGCATGGATGCAAAATTCTTCCCACACTTGTTTCCCACCGGCACAGGAGGCTGGAAGAACGACAACGGAAGCTTTTCCCAATATGCCCGGAAGCGTCTGCTGAGCCTGGATTCCCGCTTCGAAGCGTCCACGGCCTACATCATGTGGCTGCTGGAGATGCAGACCAAGAAGCGACTTTCCGGAAACATCAACGTCCGGATCGGCAACCAGCGGGTGCCCTACGGCAGTAGCGACTACGAGAACGGTAGCCGTCAGGTGTATGCTGCCTTGCGGGACATGCCTGGCACGCAGCCGTACCTGTACGCCAAGAAGGGAGTGGCGCTCAACATGTACGAGCAGCTTGGCGCTCCCAACTTCTTCATGACACTGTCCTGCCACGCGCGCCAGCCTGCGTTGCTCCTCGCGGCTATCTCGGCACGGCTGCTGCGGCTGCATCCCGACCGCCCTCAGGCAGAACTGGAGCAGCACGCTGCGGAGATCCTATTCCGCTACCAGAATGACAAGAACTTCACTTGGGATGGGTTGTCGCCCAACCAGTTGTGCAACCAGCAGCCGGCAGTGGTAGCGCGACAATTCATGCACCAAGTCTCTCAGCTGATGTGGTGGCTGTCCAGCACGCGCGGTCCGAAAGTCCACCTGCACGAAGATGCTGATCCACAAGATGGAGTCGAGGAGAACGACTGCGAGGACGTGGAGGACGACGCCCAGGCACCCGCCACGGATTTTGCAGGCCTTCATCGCCGCATGCGCAAGGAACGGCCTCCTTTCAAAGTGTTGGACTACATCATTCGCATAGAATGGCAAAAGCGGGGCTACCCCCACGCTCACATCCTGCTTTGGATCGAAGAGTGGGCCAAAGCAACGCAGCAGCCAGACAAGATGGCGCCCGACGGCGAAGACTCCGAACAAGCAGCAGAGACACCGGTTCCAGACTGGTCTGACGAAGAGGCCATGGAGAACTTCATCCCCAAGTGTGCGGAGGACCTCAGCGACAAGTACATCTGCACCAAGTCCCCGAACACGTGGCGCCAATCCCACCGCGTACCACCCAGAGATAGAGAAGTGAACGCAAAGCTGTCCGCAGAGGTGGTGCACAACCACACGCCATATTGCGGCATGTACTCAGAAGGCGCCTGTCGATTTGGATTTCCACATGATGCAGAGCCCCGGACTCGGCGTCGAACATCGCAGGAGCAGTACGCCAACAGCCGCTGGAAGAGCAGCCTTGCGACGAGACGAGTGAAGGGAGACAGCATGATGGGACAGTACAACATTCGAATCTTGAGAAGGTGGAGGGCAAGCATGGACCTGCAGGTCATCTGCGAGCTCACCAGCGCCAGTCGGTACATACTGGGCTACACTTTCAAGTCGGAGGAGGATCGCGAAGCGCAGCGGCGAATGGAAAACATCCTTGCCATCCTAACAAGTCAGAGCGCAGGCGCCGGCCTCGACAATCAGAAGATCTACAAGGCAGCCCACGCGGCGTTGCAGGGCAGGACCACGTCGACCTTCGAGGCATGCCACCTTCTGCTGGGCTTCCCGATCATCGAATTCTCCAGGGACAACGTCTGGGTACAGGTGGGGCCTCCAGACACCTGGACAGTGTGGGTGCCCAAGCATGAGGAACAGGTGGCCTTGCAGCAGCCCACTGACTACCGCAACAAGAAGATGCGCCAAGGTGGGAACCTGCCTGTTGCTCATCACTGGTACCGGGAAATGCAAACCACCTTCGGTGAACATGAGACGACCTTGCCAGTGGAAGGCAGGGAGCCGGTTTCCTGTCGGTTTAGTGAAGTCACCTTCCTGGACTTTTGCGCGGCTTTCAAGTACATCGGCGTGCAAGAACCACAGCCTCGCAGGCGCCCTGCAATCGTCGGCTACCAGAACTTCAACCCGGACGAGGAGGCCGAAGCTTTCTACTACTCCAAGTTGCTGCTGCACCTGGTGTGGAAGGAACCTGGAGATTGGCTGTTGGAGCAGGATGCAGGAAGCCATGCAGCAGCGTTCCAGCGCATCGCCCGAGACGTGCGCGGCCACCCAGACTTCCTTCGGTCGAGATGCTTCCCTCAGCTAGATGGCACCGTCGACGCCGCCCGCAAGCTGCAGGCCGTACAAGCGACGATGTACATGAAGGCCAAGATGCATCCGGCAAACCTGCGGGACGGCTGGGCCAACAGCAAGGTTGCCGAGGAGAACTACAAGGATTCCTTGCAAATATTGGAGGCACTGAAGGAGCGGTATGGAGGAGACATCGACTTCCTGGCCCCGGACTCTGTGCCCACCGGAGCTGCCCTCAATGCCTTTGCGCCGGTCGAGGAAGGCGAAGAATCATTCGAGATGTTGACGGTTGAGAACCCCTGCCCGGAGACCACGCGCCAGTGCCAAGCCATGGAGCACATCGTCCAGTCAGTTCTGAGGCAGCCGAACACCAAGGACACGCAGAATACTCAGCGTCTGCACATGCTCCTCCACGGGCCCGGCGGCAGCGGCAAGTCCGTGGTGGTACGCGCAGCAGCTCACGTCCTGCGGCAAAGCAAGAAAGGATGCATCATAGCGGCGCCCACGGGTGTGGCAGCATTCAACATCAACGGTGTCACCCTCCATCAATGTTGCTTGCTCCCCGTAGTGAACCAAAGCCACGGCAAGGCCTGCGACATGCCGCTGCCGGACCGCCAGAAGTTAGCCACTCTCAGAGACATCTGGTCGAAGGTCAGCGTTCTGTTCGTTGACGAGATGAGCTTCATCCCCTCCTGGATGTTGGAGCGTCTGGATCAGCATCTCCGTCTTGCCAGAGATCTGCAAACCCTGCCCTTCGGAGGACTGCACGTCATCTTTGCCGGGGACCTGTATCAGTTGCCTCCACCAAGCGGGCTGCCGGCCTTCGCCAGCCGGCTTTGGCTGCTCTTCCAGCTCTGCGAGTTAGAAGGAAACCAGCGGGCCGCACGCGACCCAGCCTGGGCCGCTCTGCTGGCACGCGTTCGGGTGGGACAGCAGACCGACGCCGACATTGAGGTGCTGCGGAATATGGTGATCAAGAAAGGCAGCAAGAAGCGGCCCGCCCCGAAAGCCGTGAACCTATACGCCACTCGCCAAGCAGTCGCCGAAAGCAACCGCCGCTACAAGGAAGAGCACGTCTTGAACACAGGAGAACAGCTACACGATTGCCCAGCTGTCGACACCAACGTCAAGACCGGTGTGCCGCTGTCTCCAGATGCCGTCTGGGCCGAGCCGGAGAACACGGGTGGCTTGGTAGGCCTGCTGCAGGTGGCCATTGGGCTCCGTGTCATGCTCAGATACAACATCGACGTGCGAGATGGCTTGGTCAATGGCGCCTGTGGCACGGTGGAGCACATTGACACCGAGAAAGCCGGCGGGGAAGTCGAGAGGATCTGGGTTTCTTTCGAGAAGAATGCTGGGGCCACTTGGCGAGCAGAGCACGAAACCTCCTGCGTGGCAATCTCGAGGCGCTCGGCCACGTACCTTGACAGAGACGGCAGCAAGGCATCGAGGCATCAATTCCCGCTCGTTCTCGCCAAAGCCATCTCGATCCACAAGAGCCAGGCAGCTACCTGTAAGGACGGAGCGCATACCCGCCTCGATCACACCATCTTCGCAGAAGGTCAAGCCTACGTCGCCCTGAGCCGCTGCCCCGAACAGGCACTCTGCAGCTTGGAGCTCTTCAACCCCAAGGCTTTGCGGTTCAACGCCAACGCAGAGTGGGCCCTGACCAAGCTGAAGGCGCAGCAAGCCGACCGGGACGGCCCGGATCTCTGGAAGGCGTTGTTCAAGCCGGAGCAGAACAAGGAGTTCTATGAAAGACGACTAGCTGAGATGGGGACGCCCGACTGGAACCGTCTCAAGCCAGACCACGGCGAGCGCATCGAGCGGCCCTGGTGTTGTGCACTATGCGGCACGGAGGCTCCCAACACCAAAGCTGCCATCAAGGCTCATAAGCGCAAGTGCCCGGCCAAGCCACCAGCCAAGACGAACGCCAAAAGCAAAGCAAAGGCCAAAGCAAAATGCAAAGCAAAGTTCGTCTTCATGGGCCTAGGCAAACGGGCTGCAGAAAGCTCTTGCGCGGCCGGGTCTTTGGCCAAGATGCAACGGACAGGCAGCCGACCCGATCAAGACACACCTGCAGGCCTGTATTTTGAGGCGCAAGAGCAAGCTCTCTGCGGCATGCACGCCCTGAACATGGCCTTGGGGGCAGCCTTCTTCACTGAAGCGGACATGGACAACGCCGTGCAGGTTGTCCTCGAAGAAGGTGGGGTGGAACGAGGTGAAGCTGCAGAGGACCACGCGGCGCCAGGTGGCTTCTACTCCTCGGAAGTGCTTGCGCAGGTACTGCAAACCAAAGCCATGGCTGCTTTTGGTCGTGTGAGGTGGCAAATGGACCTTCAACCCGTCGTGAGCAAGCACGATCTGGAAGCAGCTGCCGGGGCGGTGCAGAACCGGGACAACGCACACTGGGTGGCATATCGATATTTCCATGAGAAGATCTTCAGGTTGGACTCCCTGGCTCGTACCCGCAGAGCAGAGCAGATACCGGAAGCCGTCTTCTTGGCGGAGCTCGCTCGACATCCCGCGACCTACTGCATCCGAGAGGTCTAGCCGCGGCTGCCATCTCCTAACAATGTTGTGATGCCGCGAGGACACCTCTGGTGCTCCACGCCAACGTTTCACCCCCCCACAGACCAGCGTTCTCACGCGAGATCGCACAAGGCAAGGCAGAAACCAAGGCGCCAGCTCATGCTCATGTGATGGATGGATGTGTGGCAAGACTGGCGCCCCAGCAAACCTGAGCAACAACTGCGCCGCTCTTCTCTGCGGGCTCAAGATTAGAGTTACCCCAAACAAAAGACATGGTTTTCTTTCAGAAACCTATCCAAAAAGCGAGACGAGGTGTCGAAACAATCAAATCAATATCACCATGACAAGACGAAAGACAAGAATTACAAGCATTGGCTGTCAAGAACCAACATGCTCAACTTCTCCTGGCCCAGAACTGCAGACATGGACAGAAGACCACCAGACCTTCAAGCATCAGGTCCGTCTCTTCCACGGAGTTCAGAAAGGTTTTAATGAATTGTTATATCAAATGTTGCCGAAGAGACACCTCCAGCAACAAATCAAATTCTTTTCCTCCCCGAGAAGGCTCAAGAGATCGTGGGACCGAAAATATTGCCCTTTCCACCCCAAATAGTCCGGACACAATATCCGATTTCATAGAACTGAAATCCGAATTTGCAAAAACAATACCAATATTAATTGAAATTCCTCTATATTCTCTGAAATTTCGAGGGGGTGAAATGAACCATTATCATTCTAAAGAATTGCAATCCAAAAAATTATTCAAATTACAAGATATGTAATTCAAATATTCGTGGAACCATATCAATTGTAATAATATATCGAAACTTCGAGGCTAACACCCACAGACAAGGGTCAACAAAGATTCGGGACATCAGGAGAATTATAATGAATACCCTCAAAAAGAACTCCCAGATCTTCAAGATTTTAATTCTGGAGGTTTTGATCAATTATCCAGAAGTCCCCAGATCTTCCAAATTTGAATTCTAAAGATTTTTGGAGGACTTATTCAGATATCCAGTATTTATCAAATCCTTCAAAATTTGAATTCCGAAAATTCCAGAGGTTTTGAATCGATATCCAAAGATCCCCAGGCCTTCTAAATTTGAATCCTGGAGGACTGCAGGAGATTTTGATCAATTATCCAGAAATCCCCAGATCTTCCAAATTTGAAATCTAGAGTTTTGGGATCCATATCCAAAGATTCCCAGGCTTTCAAAATTTTAATTCTTGAGGTTTTGGGCCGATACAGACCTTCAAAATTTGAATTCTGGCGCAAGCCCCCCCACCCCAGCCCCCCATCCCCCCCAGCCCCCCCAAGCCCAACCAACAAAAATGTAAAACATTGAAAGGCAAAAAACAAAACCCGGCAAAACCCCCCAAAACCCCCCAAAACCCGACAAAACCCCCCAAAACCCGACAAAACCCCCCAAAACTCCGGACACAAACCCTATACAATTTCTATAAACCCTAAACCCTAAACCCTAAACCCTAAACCCTAAACCCTAAACCCTAAACCCTAAACCCTAAACCCTAAACCCTAAACCCTAAACCCTAAACCCTAAACCCTCAAGGCCAGGATAAATAGAAATTGTAGGTGTTTCATTACGAGCAGCTCGTGCAATAATCCTTCCCTTCAGCAGCCCCCCTCAGCCCCTCCCAGCCCCCGCCCCCCCAGCCCCTCCAGCCCCTCCAGCCCCTCCAGCCCCTCCAGCCCCCTCCAGCCCCCTCAACCCCCAGCCCCTCCAGCCCCCAGCCCCTCCAGCCCCTCCAGCCCCTCCAGCCCCTCCAGCCCCTCCCAGCCCCTCCAGCCACTCCGGCCCCTCCGGCCCTTCCAGCCCCTCCAGCCCCTCCAGCCCCTCCAGCCCCTCCACCTCCACCTCCAGCCCTCCAGCCCCTCCAGCCCTCCACAGCCTCCAGCCCCCCTCCAGCCCCTCCAGCCCCTCCAGCCCCTCCAGCCCCTCCAGCCCCTCCAGCGGCTCCAGCCCCTCCAGCCCCTCCAGCCCCTCCAGCCAATCCAGCCAATCCAGCTCCAGCCCCTCCAGCCCCTACAGCCCCGCCAGCCCCTCCAGCCCCTCCCCCAGCCCCAGCCCCACAACCCCAAGGACAAAAGCAAAAACAAAACCCGGCAAAACCCCCCAAAACCCCCCAAAACCCCCCAAAACCCCCCAAAACCCCGGACACAAACCCTATACAATTTCTATAAACCCTAAACCCTAAACCCTAAACCCTAAACCCTAAACCCTAAACCCTAAACCCTAAACCCTAAACCCTAAACCCTAAACCCTAAACCCTAAACCCTAAACCCTAAACCCTAAACCCTAAACCCTAAACCCTCAAGACCAGGCTAAATAGAAATTGTATGTGTTTCATTACGAATAGCTCGATTCCTGCAGGCAAAGAGGTTTAAGTAAATTGAACATATTGGCACAGTTGACCCCTGCAACCCCTTATCCTGGCTCACTAGTTACCTCAACTAGGGAGGAGAAGGCCAAGCTCCTTGATTGCATTCACACAAGCCCCGATCCCTGACCCAAATTCAGGAGGCTAACGCAAGGATCGTATTCACACAGGCTTTGATCACATCCCGACCTGGAATGCAAGGCTCCCGACCCAGTTGTGGGGGGGGGGGGGAACGCAAAGGCTCCTTCAGTTACATAAGCCCTGCTCACACACCGACCCAATTAGGGAGGGGAATACAAAGGCTCCTT